TTATTTCAAATATAATCCTTTAATATTTATTTTAAAAATAAAGATAAACAATATGTGTTTGCCTAATAACAACAACAGCAGCAACAACAACAATAATAATAGTGATAATAATAATAAAAAAGTTACCAATTTCTCTCCTTGCTTTTAATAGTCTATATTAATTTATTAATTTAGTTGGTTCTTTAGTCAGTCATATTCCCTTTCCATTACACATTCTTTTTATAAATTCTAGATTAATACAAATTTTAACACTAAAAAAAAAAAAGTATAGGTTTCCCCCCTTTTACTGTTTTGAGTGTGACACCTCAATGATTAAAATATACGCTGACGCACCGTAGATTGCGACTCTCTGCGGCTATGGTCCGTGCTCTTTTGTTGGAGAGCCCTGATCATTACGATTAGGGGCTGAAGCTGCCTTGGAAGGGCGGCGGAGTAAGGGGAAGCCACAAGCCAGGTTGAGGGGAGCCGCATCTCCCCCCCGGGCTTGGTCTTTTTCCCACCGAAGACGATTGCAGCAGTGGTTTAAAATGGCCACCCCGAAGAGGAGGACTCAGCTGGATTAAGATTTGTGCAGGAGGGAAGAAAGAGGTGGATAACATCTGAACCGGGACAACTGGGCAATAAAACTAAACAAAAGTACCCCGGGATTAAGGTAACATGGAATTTTTAAGAAAAGAAAAGTGAGCGGCGAAATTACAAAGGGACAGGGGGAAAAAAAGAAAATATTTTTGACAGCTAAGCGGGGCTTCGAACCGGGAAAGGAAGAAGCTGGAACTAAAGATTTAACTAAATTGGACTAAAATATTTTGGGAATAAACAGGCATAAAATAAAGCTGGACTTAAGATTTTCAAAAAATAATAATAATAAAGTTTACAAATTGGAGAGTGGACTGTGCTGGAATATTGAGGTTCAAAAAACCCTAAATAAAAAAATAGGGGGAAAAGGTGAAGACTTTGTATAATGGAGCGTGCCACCTTTTGACAAAAACTTGAGCTCAAACAAAAGGGAAAGCATCCTGTTTCTGAATGAACTTGTGTGGATATAACATTAAAGAAATATTGAAACAAAGTAAGAATCTTAGAAAGTGAAAGCAGAACCAGAATAAAGAAAAAAGCAAGGAAAGACTGACTGTGGGATTAATTGATGTTTTTGGTTTTGACCCTGGGCTGGAATAATTGAGAACTTTAGAAAATCGAAAGAAGGAAAGTAAAAGTGTTTTTTTGTGGACTTTAACGATCATAAAATACAAGAGTGTGTAATGATGATATCTCTTCGGGAATTAAAAATGGAATTTAAAAATATGAGAGAATTACTACAGGAAAGAGGTGAATCACTTTGCTCTGTGTTAGAAAAAATGGAAATGGCGATTGAAGAACAAGAAGAAAGAGCTTCAGAGGAGGAGGAGTCGATTCAAGGAGAAGACATTTTAAATAGACAATTAACACAAAGAACACTACAAAGAAGTGGGGAAAGAAGGAAAGTTAAAAAGTTGAGACTTAAAGGGGACTTCCGGTTTGTCGGCTTCGCGAGCGGCAGGGATTCGCGAAGCTGCACGATCCCTGCTGCGCTAGCCGCTTTTGGTGCTCCGATCCGGACGGGTCCTGAAGATAGGGGGGATCCAGAGAGGGGTTTGGGGGTGTTGCAGACCCCCTCCCCGGCCGGCAGAACCCCCTTTTCCCAAGACGGTGCAGCGGCGGTCCGCAATGGCCGCCACAAAGAAGCTGGCAGCCGGGTAAGAATGCGCAGGAGGAAGTGGAGAAAGTTTTTGAAAAGAGAAAGTTTTTCTTGGTTCCCAGGACTCTAAGACATATTTAACAAAACTCCTGAAAATTATGACTTTCTGAATGATACCTTCTAGAAGAGGAAAAAAGCGGCAGTTTGGTGGTGCTGAAAGGAAAGTTTACTCTCCTTCCCGACGGAATTAATAAGTGGACATTGAGAAACCTGTTTTTTTCAGGTAAAACTAGCTTTATGGGATAAGTCGGAAGGGAGAGGACAAAAAATATATTCATCTGGTTTGATTTTGTTGGAGATGCCTTAAGGATTTGAAGACAGAAATAGAACTCCAATAAGGCTTCAAAATACAGATTTGGACTTTCTTTTTTCCTTTGTCTGATACTACCCCTGGAAGAGAAAGGGAGAATTTTGTCTTGGCTTGGATAGATTGAGGATTGTGGATTTTGGGATTGTTTTATTTTTATTTTTAAATATCTTGGTTGGTGTAAGAAGAAAGAGGGAAAAAAGAAAAGAAAAGAAAAGATCTATAATGGCTTTTTCTTTTGAGGAACTGAGGGAAGAATATGAGCAAACAAAAGCAGCCGGTAAAGATGGTATGGAAAAAGCCTTCCTATTTTTAGAAATGGCGCTGGTTAACTATCAACAAACAATACAACAGATGGAGGCAGAAGAACAACAAGAAGAAGATGAAGACGCCATCTTTAATGAATTCCAAAATTTAACTAAGAAAGAAGGAAGGAAGAAAGCGAGGAAAATGAAGGACTTAAGATCTAAAAAAACATTTAAGAAAGAGAAAAATAAGATGCAAAATAAATATAATGATAGTAAACAAAAGAAAAAGGGAACACAACAGAGAAGGGATGCCAGCAAGGCAGAGGCTAGAAGAAGCGGGGGTAGGAAGATTTGGTGGGGGAAGAAAGAAAGGGGAAAGGCAGAGAAAAGCCACAAAGTTTTGAAATTAGATGGGAAAAGAGGAATTTTTTTTAGGGACAAAGGGTAAAGTACAATTTTCTTAAAAAAGATTTTGCAAGGTACATAAGATGGTATTGTAACATCTGTATTAGAAATAGAAAATTAGAATGGCTTAAGAGTTAATAAGAAATTAAAATGTTGAAATGTTTAACAATGATTGATTTTAAAATGTAATAAAATATTAAAGGGAAAGGCAATGGGAATGTTATAAGATTTAATATTTAGATTTATTATTTAACTATGTATTTAATCATTTTGGATTTATCACTTTGTTTTTATTGTTATTAAAAGAAAAAAATTAGTAGATAGAATGTACCAAGCAGAATCAGATTGGGTATTAGGTGTTATTTTAAATGTTAATCTAATTAATTTAGGGGGAGGATAGAAAGGCATCATACTCTGATTAGTGATTTCAGGAGAAATTCTTTTTTTTTTTTTTTAATAAGGAATGAGATAGAGGGATAATAAAGAATGGGCAAAAGATACAAATATAATGATTTAAATTAAGATGGATTAAATAAGATAGAATTATGAAGAGTGAAATGTGTGGAGAAGTTTATATAGAAGATATAGAATGGTAAACAAAATAGGTAATGATATGTAAGATGAGCATGAATATAATTGAAGCCCATATAAAGAGAGGTACCTGGGGCCAAGTTACTTTCCTAAAAGATTTTTTATATGTTTGTTTGTTGTGTGTTTATGTTTTTGAGAGTATTAATAAAACCTTGTAGAAATACAGAATGAGAATAATGGTAATCAAGTCAGAAAGAAATAGATGAAATAATAATAGTGAAATTGAATAAGAGTAAAGAGAAGTAAAGAGAAATTGGATAAGAGGTATTTTTATGCTCATATGGAAATGGCTTAAAATAGAATTGTATTGTATAAAATAAAGCTTTATCTGACTTGTAAAATTTATAATGGAAAAAGGTTCAAATATGTAATGGTTGATGATGATTTGTTTGTCTTTGAAATTAATAAAATTTGCTTAAAAAAAAAAAAAGTTGAGACTTAAGAAGGCAATCAAAAGGGGGAATACCTGTGAAGTCAGGAAAGGCAGAAAGACCCAGCAGAAAAGGGGAAAGGAAGATATTAAGAAAGAGAGGGATATAAACTGGAATGAGAAAAGATATGGGGAAAAGAGGGGGAGGAGAAGCAGTAAGAAACAGGTGCGTGAAATAAAGAAATATGGAAATAGTAAAATGTTGAAAAGAAATTGTTTTTTCAGAGATAATGGTTGATGAATTAAAAAGGGGACTCTGCAGGGTGACAAGGGGTAATAAGAATATTTCTGCAATTAAAAATATTTAGAAAATAGGGTAATATAGATACTGATAACTCTTATTAAAAATCAAGGGGGGGAAATATGCTGAGGAACCCATTGAAAAGATGTAATGATTATTATTGTAACTTCTTAAAAATAATGGTTTATTGGATATATAAAAGTGAAATACTACTTACACATCATCACAAAATGTCCAGAACCGTAAAGCCTACAAACTTGAAATTTGGCACCTATGTTCCTCTTGGTTTCTAGGTGCTCACTAAGAAAGGATTTTTCTAAATGACCATCAGAGCATTAGTATTTCCTATATTATTATTATTATTATTATTATTATTATTATTATTATTATTATTATTATTATTATTATTATTATTA